TATTTTTTGTGTTTTTGCCAATTACTTTGTAAGGAGTACAGCAGGCTAATGTTTAATCTCAGTATCTGCTTGCACTGACCACCTGCACTCCCCCTCCTCCTGCTTCCTGGGTCTTTGACCCTGTTAACTGGTGACTTTCAGTCTATAAAAGGCACTGCATTACAGACAGCGAGCCTCTTCAGCCTCGCCACTCTGAGATGCTTTCTGTCTTAAAGACAAACACTGACCATTGTGTGCGGTTGTTCTCACGTTTTGTGAGGAAAAGTTATTTTTAAATTTAACATATAGACTTAGAAGACCTTAACACAGTGTATACTGACAGAGTTTCACTCTCTGATAAACAATCTCATCCTGTATGATTGTTAAGAATGATAAAAATACAGAATATAGACAGAGAATTAAGTCATTAGGGTCATCACGTTACACAGTGGTAGAAAAAGGGGCCCTTAAGAAAAAAGGTTATGGAAATGTAAATCAACAACGGCTGAGCAGTCTTTACCAAAATTACCCAAACTACCCCTGGTGAGTTTTGATCTTCTGAGGGTTGTTGTTGCATTGCTGTCCCTGATTGTTTGTATCTTGATCCAGCACAGTCCATACTGACTATATAATGCTGCGTTCCCACCAAAGGCAAATAAAATGATTCACGTGAGAAGATTACATACAAAGTCAATACAAAGACACATAAACACACATTGCAACTTGCATGTTCTTTGAGTGAGAAATGTGCGCGTATCGCAGGGTGTTTGCAGTCAGTGTGGAGGAGGAGGGAGAGACAGAGCTGCTGCTGCCCACAGACAGCTGCTGGAGCACGGGGAGCTCTGTAGGAGAGAGCTGGAGCTTCTGGAGGAACAAACATCTGCAGTCAAACCGGATTCTGATCTGGAGACTTTATATTGTTTGTTCTTTAAACTTTTGGGATTAAAAAAGTGGATTTATCTTCGCTCTCTCTTCTCAACCCGTAGGCTGCGAGCCACGAGGGGCCTCACACTGCTGCTAGATTAAAGGGTGAATGTAGGTTAATACAAATGATCCCATGAGTAAACTAGTGCGAGTAACACTACGTGTGAACCGGAGGTTTGTTGTCTTAATACATTTTGTGTGTTTCTTTGTAGTCAGGAATAAATAATAGATTACAGTACTCAAATTATTGTTGTAATTAGACTTAAAACTTAAGCTGATTGATAATTATTGTCTGGAGTTCTCATACGTTTGTGCCTGACTTGTTGTTTCTACTGTATTTTGTCACCCGATGAGGGAAACTTGTATTTTATTCGTCCTTCTCTGCTGCTGACCTCCAGCTGTGTGTTTTCATCCAGAGTTTGTCGTCCGATCCAGAGAACCTTTCATTTGAGCCTCTATCACAGAGACAGCATGGCATTTAGCTCCCAGCGTACAGCTGAGAGAGATAAGAATGCTAATTAATGCTAATTAATGCTAACACACACAGGTGGAGGAGGAACGGGGTTACATTAGAAAGCAGCTGTGTGATATTAAATGAGTCTTTTCATTAAAGTCAATCTGTGTTTTTTAATTATTTGAAGAACTCAACAAAAGTACATCAAGTATTCACATTCAACATCATATCAAGCAGTTTAATTATTCATAAAAATATAAGATGGATAGAAATGTGATGTTCAGGTTTACAAGAGTTCTTTCTTCCAAACATGAATGTTACAAAAGGTTAGAAATCCAAGTTGTTTGTGCTTCAGTGAAGCCTGTACATCATGTGTGCTCTGTCGCCCCCCGCTGGACATTTGCAGTTTGCAAATGTTACCCCCTTTATATTCTGGATATTGGTTAATATTTTAAACTGCATGTAGATTGTAGCCTGGCCGGACGGATTCCTGCGTGATCTGTTTTGTGATCTCAAGAGTTCAGATTCCTCGCAAGGTCAAATTAAAGTAAAGAACCAGGTGCTCTTCCAGAATATGGCCAGTAGTCGAGTAAAAATAAAACTGTCCAGCTTAGTGTCAAATATGGAACTCTATTTTCACCAATGTGACGGGAAGAAAAGGATTCTGTTCGTCATTATAATGAGAAACTTTCTTAAAACATTGACTTTGAGATATTAAGTCATATTGTAAAATACAAAAATACATAATACAGAGATAATATCAGGAAAACTCATCTCTCATCAATGTTAACAGGAAATAATCTGCTCAAAATTCATTCAAATCTCTGCTTTTACACAAACTTCCTGCAGTTACTGTGTTCACTGTTTTATTAAATACCAGAATCAGAAATATGTTATTGATCCCTGGGGGAAATCTGTTTGTTACAGCTGCTCACGGTGCTCACATGACATAAAAGAATAGAAATAATAATAATATTATAATATCTAACTATAATAAAAAAAGGAATGTATATATTGCTATATACATCTAAAATAAAATTAAAATAGTAAAATATAATCAAATAAATGTACGGAGAGAGAAGTAAGTGTATGCTACATGGCCAACATATGTAAAAAAAAAAAAATGAGTGAGCACTGATAATGTTAATACTGCAGTATTAGTGACAGAATATTGCACATTAATCTGAATATTGACCATTAACCACAGAACATTACAGGCACCAGTTTAATGAGGGTCTGACTCTCTGATAGCCACAGGCAGGATGACTTCCTGTGGTTCATCTCTGTAGAAATAATATGAAATATCCATAAAATATGTCTCTTAGGGGCATGTTCTTGGTCATAAAGTTACTCAATGATAGAAAAGGGGCCCCTTAAGGAATACGTTTGGGAACCACTGTAATATATAATTGAGTGTGTCTTGTCCCAGGACCTCACTCATTGATTTAAAAAGTATTTTTAAGAATGTTTTTTAGCAGCTGTTTTTACCCAACACCTTCTGGGCAACTGTAGAAACATGGTGGACTCAAGGAAGGGTGACCTCTGGTGTCTTTAGATATAAAAAGCTCATTAAAAGGTAACAAAACCACAACAATTCTTATTTTCAGATAATTATACACTAATGAAAACATACAATTAATGTTTTATTCTATTTCTGCTAATAGATCCTCATGAATGTTACACACTGGACCTTTAAAACACAAATCAAGTGTTTGTTTAAATTGCATTATTAATAGCTTGTAACAGTAAAAAAAAAAATATATATATATATAATATATATATTAAAAAAAATATTTGGAAAAAAGAAAGAGAGAAGGTTGGAAAATCTGTGTCTGTCACTTGATTCCAGCCCTGATCAACCAAACTCCATTCAGAAAACAAGCATTTTAAAAGTTTTTACAAATCGCCATCATGATGTCGTTATTTCAGCATCATATTGATCAATTTATTGACATTAAATTACAGAAACCTCTATTTATTTTAGGCTCATACTGCTGCTGTAAGAAGGGTCAAGGGTCAATATTCACCTTGTGAATATATACAAATGATATACAATCAGATGCTCAGAGCTCATAATATAACAACTATAAAATAATATATAACAATTATGTTAAATGAGCTTTAGTTTTAATATTAATTATATACTGAATATTGTTCATATATGTATTCCATAATAAAAGTTGTCATCATGGAGCAGACAATGACTCTCGACCTGGGCTTTTATTTTCTTAATCCCAGAAAATGTCATGCACCGGAAATGATTGTCTGCGTTCAGAGTGGAACAAGATGGCGTCCAGTCACAACGTGTCCCGTTGTTGTGCTGAGAAAGTGTGTGTGACATCCACAGTAGAGACAAGACACAACACTGGATGGACCATGACGCCCATTCCGAGCCCTCCGTACGTCCGGATAAAGCGGTCTGAATGGACTTTGGTGCTGTTCACCGTTTGTCGGAATGCTTTACCTCTGACTCATCTCCCCGGTAGCCTACAAAGCTACAGAAGTTAGCTTAGCATGCTAGCTGGAAACAGAGCGGAGCTCAGCAACACAGCGCTAGTCAGAGTGACTGTTTGATGGAGAGCAAACAGTGGTTTCTGAGGGAGTTTGTGTGGAGAGAAAAGTTTGTGTCATTGTGTGAAAAATGTTGTAAAGTCCAAATGCCTGAGAGCGTTGGTGAAGCAGGCGACTAACTGCGGCTGCTGAAGAGATATTTGGGCTGTTTGAAAGAAACGATAGCAGAGTACGAGGAGGAAACTTTGTCGTTCAAAAAAGAGGAGAACGAGCGACAACGGAAACTACTGGACGCCTGTTTTCCAACCCTCAACTTCGGTTACACAGAGCCAGGTTGGTTCACTGTACTGCTTCTTCTCTCACTGTTCAACACTCTGAGCTGGAAGTAGTATTCACAGCCTTTACTGCAGTAAAAAGGATGATCAGCACAATGGACCAAAGGAAAAGTAGTGATAGTGCAGGAACAGGTTGGACTATTATATCTGATGGATCAATGTTTACCTGCTGCATTCATGTGGATGTAGATGTTGAACTACTTTATATACTGTTGCTACTCTTTCCTACTTTAATCTACAGCAACGTGTGAGATTCTAACTTGAATGTGTATTTAAGTACTTTACATCCACCAGCAATTTGTACTGAGATCCATAATTATTATGACAATATCATTATGATGCCATGGTCCCAATAACAAATACATTTCATCCTTAAACTGTAACACGGATTAATATTCATTAATTCAGAGCTCACAGAGGATCACAGTCAGACATATTATATACGGACGTCACAATACCAAACATTTAGTGGGCGATACCAGAACCAGTGAAATCCCACTGTTCTTGATTCCACAGTAAAAATGTCCCAATAAAGGTTTTTTGACCCTGATCCCCATTTAATATTGATTGTTGGCTGATACGAAGTCCTGATCCAATATCAATAATACAAGTTAATAGCTCTGCATTCCCTGCCAACAAGCTGTTTCTTAATGTTTCATACATAATATATTAATATAGCCCATTAAATACACTAATAACTAATAAACAAAGCAGACAATACAACAGCCTCACAAACTCTGTAACCTTTTTTGATCTTGTCTTGTAGCTGTCTCCTGCAGTTTCAGTGCAGCCTTTACCTGAGTTACCAGAATGAACTGGATTCCTCACCTGTACATCGTTTGCGTGGATAACATCAATAAAATACTCTCGCATTGTCGCATCTTACCAACACTAGTAGAGTATTTGTAGGTAATATGGTCCAAATATACCACGTAAAGAGAGAGGATGAAACAGCCACACAGAACGCCACAAAGTCAGCACGGATTCCAAATCCACCAGATTATTAAAATTATATTTAACTCACTGCTGACATTTTCAAAGCCGCGCAATCTGCTGCTGTTGTTTAAAAAAGTTAAACAACTCCTAAAGACGTCTGAATAATGTCTAAAATATAACTGGAACCTCCTGAGCAACAGCTGCCCCACAGACAAGCTAATCACAATGTACACTTTCTGGCTTTAAAGTAAATGAATAACTCTGAAATTCCATTGACTGTATCTACTAACAAGTATTATTGTGACTACCCATTCAATTAAAATGTTCCAACATAGTGAAAATTGAAAAATATTGTTCTTGATGCATTGTGAACCAATAAAGAACATTCTAATGAGCAACAAATAGCAGATGTTGGAAATAATAACAAGTTCCAGTAGTCCACTCCTACATCGGTAAACGGGAACAAATCTGGCAGAATCCTTTCGACCGGCATGTTGAACCACTTTCCAGGAAGTCTTCTGCTGATAATCCTTGTGAGACCTTGTCAACAGATTTCAACTTGGTTCCTGTCCGTCTCGCTTAGTCCCACCCGCACTACACTACATATACACACAGCACAGTGGAGTGGACAGACGAAGGGAGTTGACAGCAGCTTTTTTTTTAAATTTTTTATCTGGTACTAAATATAAATGAGCTCCATATATTTTTTTTTTATTTTGTTATTGATGTGCGTCTGAAGTATCGGTCCTCCTGACATCCCTAGTTGAAACCGTTGTTCAACCTCCAGTAGAATACAGTTCCATATCCAATATACATCTATTTATGTGTGAGTTGACCAAAGTCCTTTTTATAGATCTGATTCACATTGACACCCGATGTATATTTGATAGCCTGACCGTTGCTGTGAGAAGCCGTAGGATACCTTGTCCTGCCAGCCAACCTTTCTCATGCACATTTCCTGCAACATTAGTTTGGGAGGAAGAGTAAATGGTGAAAGAAATCTGAGGTCGTAGATTGAATGAATGACTGACAAAGTGCCCTGTGGTATGATAAGGCTGCCATTTTTAATGGGAGCACATCAGATTTTACACACCATTGTAGAACAAGAGCTCTGTCCATAGGTAAGTGGTCTTTGCCCCAGTTGAGCCCCTTGGTTGCCTCAGAAAGATGCTCTTCAGGAATTAGGGACGTTTCAATCAAGACTCTGTGCCCCATCATTTTTTAAAAAGTATTTTCGGGTGCCCAGTTGCCATCATTTAACATGAAATATATATCGATACCAAGTCCTGATTTGATAGATGTATTTTCCTACATAATACACATAATATGAATAGTTCTCAGAGTTGATGACGGCTGCACTCTTTCTGAGTAAAACAGATGTGTGATAGCTGACAAAGGGTCAGCTCAATATAGCTGATACAGATCAGGAATACCTGCCAGGACTGCACATTATTTGGTCATCCATTCTGAAAAGGGCACATAGAAGTTACAAGTACTTCAGACTGAAAGTGTCCTCAGCAACCCTCCTAAAAGCATAGTTGGCAAACCTTGTTCAAAGAAATTGACCTTCATCCTGTCTGCCACTACGTTCTGTGTAAAGTCAACATTAGGCCACCATACAAAGCAAAGGAAATTGACGTTTATGAGACACCTTTGTTATTTTTACTCTATAATGAGCCTTTTCTATCTACAGACAAAGCGTTTTGCCTTTCATGGGGTCTGCAAAGTTAAATCCCCATGTTTCTACGCTGCCAGTCCAGGAAATAAC